GGAGCCTTTGTATACACCACCTGAGATCGGAAATTCTTCCAGCTATTCAAATCTTTTTTCAAATTTATTCTAGCTATTATGATCATGCAATAATTGCAACTAGACGTATTTATACGTCGCCGGGAGTCAAAGGGTTAAATGATTTATCACTTGCAAAATTCACCTGTCATTTTTATACAATCGAGCTCCCTCCGATTCGCATCACCGTTCCTCTGATCCTCTTCTAATTATCATATACTCTTGTTTTTATTTCTTTGCTCTATGGTCTTTTTTATATCTGTTCACCCACTTGCTGATTATTTTTGCTTTCACTCTTAAGAAATCTAATTCTTCATTCAGACATTTTGTCATGAAGTAAGAATGTTATAATGAGCATAGCCCGACTGTGTTCTTACTTGTATTATTCTTTTGAATAAAGTTTATATATATATATAAAACAAACGACCTGATGAAGCAAATTCAGATTATTCATCAATATACATACTTTCAGCTGCACGATGTTCTATCATTTGCTCATGAATAGTACATTCAAATCATTCGCTAATATTGGGTAGTTCCATCAAATTCTTTTACGTGATTATAAATGAAAAAAACAAGTAATACACAAAAATAATTTTTTTTTATATTTTAACTCCCATCTCTTCGGTCCCATAGCCACTGAAATCGGGTTCCCCCATTGTATCTGTGCCCTCACTCTCTTTTGTTTATCTTTTTTCTTTCAAATTGTGTCGATGGCAGTAGAATAGAAAATACTCGGCGGTTTCTATCGTCCCACAAGAACAGAGACAACAATTTTTTTGTAAAAGATGACAGTTAAGATCTGTAAAACGGCACCGTATTTTAAAATAGATCTAATTGTATTTATGGTTTATCCCGTACTGGCAAAAAATATGTAATTAGTTACCAAATGCAGACAATTTTGTATGAGTTTGAGGGGCTTGTGACAATTTATTCCAGTTATCGGCTAATTGAGGAAAGAAAGTAAGCCCAAAATTTTAGCTGTTAAAATTCGTAGCAGGAATATTTTAAACTGCAACAGAAAAGGCAAGAAATTTACATATAAACATATATATCGGCCCATCCCTATATGAGATAATAAACTGAGTGTATCCAAAAGAGATATTAAAGTCAAATATCAAAATTGGGATGATAAAATGAAACAAAAGAGCAAATGCAAAAGCTACAACAAATTTTAATTAAAAGAAAAGAGTGAAAACACAATGAGAAACCTTTACACTGTTTATAATTATGCATCATTTTTTAATTACAAATTATTGTCAATTCGTCACATTAACAAGTGACATATTTCCGACAGTCGCGACTTAAGCTTTGTGATTCTGGCTTTTTTGTAAGCAAAAAAATATCTAACTGTTTCTGCTTCTTTGCAACGTGATTTTAACTAACTAGGTAGCTCGAGTGTTTGCTTAGAAAATTCCAACATAACAGTCATTAAAAATTTGCGCCTGATTTCACTCAATCAGTTTTAATTTCAGTAACATATTCCTTATGAATAGAGTAGACTAATTTATTCTGTCACAAAATAAATATTGACGTATATGACCACATACTCTGTTCCTTTTTTTTTCACGGTTTGAACTTGAGTATCAGTATATGACTGGGAACATCGCTTAAACATCAGCTTGATAAATGTGACGAATCAGAAACTACTTTATTTTAGCACATCAATCGGCGCCAGCTCAAAACAAACATGTTGAAACTTACCATCTATATGTAGTGTTCATTGCTGCTCGAATCAACATAAAATAGTTTCATAACCAGATGAGACTTTTCGTGTATGACAAAAACTCTACAGTTCTTTTCGAGTTGAGAGAAGGTTTATGAACTATCATATCATCTAAAACTACTAATGCCATTTAGAATTTTAAATGAGCTTGATCACAGTTTAACTGATATTTAGGAAAGGAAATACACTCTCGAACATTCTGGTTTGCTGAAAATCTAGATGGTCTTGAGAAAACGATGCATCCTTAAAAGTTCTGGAAAGCTTTTTGCGGAATGTCCAAAATATCAAAGTGTGTGAAGCGAAATAACGCTCATCGAGAGAAGAAGACAAGAGTAAACATGTACGCAATTAGGTCTTACAGTCTCGATATCGGTCAAAAAATATTTCAGTTTCAGTTCGCAGGACTCCTTAAAACAGATGATTCATCGTTGTATTTTTGATAGTCAAAGAATTTGCTGATAATCAATAATTTACTTTTTGCGTCGTTGAAATGATCATTGTTTATATTCGATGAACTTCACTTCCTTTATTGCACTTCCCGTTTTATGCGTTCTTTGATTGACAACCTATAAAAAGCTTTTCTTTTCGTGCATTCTGAATTCGACTGAACAGACGAACACACGATTTTACACGTAACGGAAGAAATAAATGTGAGGTTAGTAAAATAAAACATGCTTGCTTGGTAAATGCAAATCCAATTTCTCATGTGATTAATGCTTTGGATGCGAAGAGTTGAAAGAAAAGTGATTTTCGAGTATTCGAAGAACGCATCACAAGAGTATGTCACAGCTAACTTGAAAATCTCTTTTTTTTCCAGTTCCATGCCTACTGTCGGAAAATGCATGCTTATTACGGCCCTTTTTCTATCACTGATACCATTGTTTTGTAATGCAAAAGATTTACCGGGTCTCAATATTCTTGGGACGGGTTTTGACGCCGCCAAAATGATCAGCATCGATAAGCTGCACGCTTCGAGTCAAGCAAGACGTTTATTCGATTTAACTGATCACAGTGGACAAACTTACATTTTAAATGCCAACGGAAACATTCAGACATTTGAAGTGCCCGATGTCGTAAAAGTCGTTGATATTAGCATGAAAGTTGATGCGTCATGTGAAGCAGTTTCCTATTCATACGAACAATTCTACAGCAGGTAGGGAAAGATTCATCACATTATCCAGTGATATAGAGGATACTTTGTCCGGCGTGATCTAGTTGAACTTTTTTCCAACCCGTTGCAACTCTGTTTAACGATATTACACTGTAAAAAAAGTCAGCTTGGTTTTTCAATGCCAAGGCCTTCGTAAAAACGGAATTTAGTATATAAGATATTCTTTAAGTAAACTTACATCTGTGGTAAAAATTGAATGACTTTTCGACGGAGTATATGTCCGTAGATTTGCCCAAGTCAACGTTTTAAATCAGATACGACAGATTACGAAAACGGCCTCTTAAGAACTGTTGTGGAACATCGTGGAAAGTTGGAAACGTCTCATTTTCAGTTAAATCTACCAATTATCAACTTGCAAATATTTTTTAAACATCACAAAAACATCGTATAATTTTAAAAATTAAAAAGTTACGTTTTTTTCGGTTTAAATGACAATGGTAAAACTTCCATCACTTATGAGTAAAACGTCGTAGAGAGTGGGCGATATTTTATTTTGTACAAAACACTTTAATCAATTTTTCCGGAAGCAAATTCATGATAAAGTCGTTACTCCTACATTTTAGCTATTTTTCATCATTTCAAATTGGAAATAGTATTCCAATTCCTATAGAAGGTGTTGGCGTAGGCACACTTTCACTTGGCTACCATTCAACATTAAATAAAACAAATGAAAAAATTAAGAACGAACACAAAGCAGTTGGTACATCAACGAGCTGGTGGGGAATGTACGCACTGCATTTAGCATCGACCTTTCTTCTAAAGTAAGCGCATGCATATCTTAGTTTGTGCTTTAGATATTAGTCTCTACTTGTTTTTCTCTCAGATTCGGTCCAATGTTTAATAAAACTTTAGCGCAGTTATCAGCAGATCCTCAAACTGACAGCGATCAGCAAATGTATAACCTACTAATCTCCACCTTTGGAACCCATTATGTTTCATCTGTAATCGTTGGTGGGGTAGTGCATGTCTATACGTTTGTCTCAAATGCATACGCCAAAGAAGCAAGCACCGAGCAGTTTTCACAGCAGGTATCCATCAGTTTCAAAGTTCTCAAACAAGGAGCAGGGCTTGAATCCGGTATAGCCGACGATACTGCTCTCTTGACGGAAAGCTTTCGAAAAAATTCGAACAGTGTCATAAAATTATTCCACCAGTATTCATCGGAGACGGCGAAGAATCGGTAAATTCATCTGATTGGAAAAAATGGATGAAAAACGCATCAAATCAGCCGTCCGTTATCAATCGAACCATTTCAAATATCACCGATTTACTGATCGACTATCCACCTGAGATTAGAAAACACCTTCAATTAACAATCAACTATTACTTGAAAAATGGAGTGCTGCCGACACTTGAGCAAATAAACACTTATCAAAATCAACAGCGAAACAAGCGACAGTTGAGTAATGATGAAGAGCTAATTCCACCAATACCTGGTTTAGATGTGGTCGGATGCGGTTTTGATATAACCTCACTAGAAACTAAAGTGTGTCTGTTAAACGCTGAGAACAGTAGCGATACTTGGACAGATCCACTCAACTTATTAGCCTCATTTTTCGTACCAGATGGATTTTTTGTTGTTGATATTCCCAACCTATTAACAAAATATGGTCTTAAAGTATTCACAAATCTTACCGAATTCTTCAGTGATTCGATTTATCGAACAGAGAGCACGTGGTCGTCGTCGTTCAGGGGTATCGGTGCAAACACCCGCTCAACGGAAGTCCGCACAAGAATTCAAAATTTCTACGAGTATAATTTCTATTTGGCATGGATATATCGCCAAATCATCTGGTATACCCTCGCTGTGCCCTCATTCCCCCCGCCTAAACTCAATCCGATTGCCCAACGTGCTTTTGACCAACTACCCACTACCTATGATGCCACCAATGTTGATGTCTGGAAACAATTCTTTGACGCCTACGGCACACACTACGTTGTCTCAGCCGATATGGGAGGTATGGCGTGGGCTGAAGACTGGATTCAGAAATGTCTGTTCGAAAGAAGAACTGAAACTTGGATTAAAGAACAAACAAGTCGCTCTTTTTTCGGATTTTTCAGCTCATATAGTAGTGCCACTTCGGATGGCCACACTTTGAACGTTGATAAAGAATACAAAGAATTGACATGGTCTACGTTCAAATTGGTTGGAGGTATAGAGACACCCGATCTTCGACGTTTCGATAAATGGTTAGCCTCTATCAAATATCACCCACGTCCAGTCAACTACCGTCTAATGCCTATTCACACTCTACTACCAAATGGTGCACAGCGTGACGCACTGGAAACAGCATCCATCTTATTTCGTTCTGAAATGGTCAACGAATCGAACGCTCATATCGTTAACATGGAATCTATCCAACAGTCGGCGAATTCGAATCCGGCTATAAAATGTCAACCATTTACCGCAAAAAACAGAAAACGACGAGATCTTTCTGTACAGGACCTCAGTGATAAAGATGAATTGTCAACTGATGTTCACTGGCTGAATGAGTCTGGCGAGAATGAAACTTATACGGAACCTTATATACAATTTGATACGACCGAGGCGCGAAGCATTTTCTGTCCAATGATTGGTTTTCATGGTCCATATTGTCCGGGAGACACCAGTGAGTCGAACAACAGTTATGTCAACGTAACTAATAAGAGCTATCGAGTACGGCGGCAAGATGATCTAGAATATGTGAAACTACCAAAAGCTGTTGGCCTGGCTTTTGACGTTACCGTAGGAAAACTATTATTACCAGCTATAGAATTTAATTATTCTGATTCAACTCGTCTCTGGTCAGACGACTCGTCAGGTCAATCCTTTATCATTCCAGCCGGTGTGAAGATTACAAATGCGGCGCCAGACGACAGTTCAGTAAAAATCCGTATATACAAAAACGAAAATGATTTGCTCCAAGTTTGGTTGCGTAATGAAGAATCCGGTCAATGGTGGGGCGGTGAATTTGCACACGTACAAAACATATCTGAAATATACGACACATTCTACAAAGATAATCGAGCAATGGCAATCTCACAAAAGCTGTATGTGCTTTATAGTCTGACAGTGGACGGAGCAGACAATCCAGCAACGATAAAATTGAACGATTATGCAAAAAACGCTATTGATGCCCTTACCCTCAAGTAAGCTACATGCTGATTACCTGTACACTGTTACGACTTGGGTATAAAAAGCTCGAAAATGCATAGAACATACGCTATCAACCATATTGAGCTAGGTGGGATCACAGAAATATTCTTTATTTTTTAAAATAAATTTCTTTATTTCTTTATTTTTTCATTAAGGTTTTTTGAATTTATTCTATAAACATTGCAACCAAACTTAGCATGATTCATTGTCTATGCACCTTGCATCTTAAAAAACTGTTGATCGACATTTCTCAAAGACGTTTCTGAAATTAAACTAAAATGCTTTTTTTCAAGTATTTTGCAGAGTATTCCAGTTTTCTAGAAAACTTTGAGTCGCAAACAGGATACGAAGATGAGCTTCAATTTTTATTTCTTTAGGTATGATCAACGGCTATACGATGAGTTTATGAACGCTTGGGGCACGCATGTGGCTGTTGAGACTAAAGTTGGCGGCATGAAAGAACAGCAAGTAATCTATAAAGAATGCATGTTGAAAACGTCTGATTTCGTTGATGGTATAAGCGAAGCACAATTAGAGAAGAATCTACAACAAGAACTACTCAGTCCACTGCGACCATGTTTGGATGATTATTACTATTTTCGTCGTCGAACATATGTAAATCATTTTATCGGTGGTGATTTGACCAAGATCAACAACACTCAGTTATGGCAGAAAACAATTTTAAAAGATCCTGTCGTGCTCACGGTTTCTCGGTATGTTCCTTGGTCAGACATTGTCGAAAACCAGACAATTAGTAAAAATCTAAAGCGTGCCATCAAATATCGACTTGACACAATAAATGCGGCGCGCACAGAACAAGCCAATCAAGTTCAAGTACAACGATTAAACGCAACAATTCCAGCAAAATATGTGATCTATAAAGCAGTATACAAACCACCAGACACTACAACACCCATGCCTTTGACAGAATATACTAAAGATCCCACTATGACTGAAGAAACAACTTCCCCTCCCTTTGAGTATATCTACGAAGTCGGTGTTGATAATGTAACACTGGCCAGTGCTTATATCTGTCCGAGTGTTGAGGAAACTTTGCCTTACTGTAATGTTGGAAGAAATATAAGCTCATGTCCATTAGCTGTCATTAAAAACAATTGGACAATGACAAATCAAGTTCAATTGTTATATGAGAGAAGTCAAACAACTGGCAGTTTTCGAACGGTGGCACGACGAATATATGGAAATATAACAATAGCTGGCACTCACACGTTCCAAAGTAAGAAATTATGAATTCTAGAATTCCACGAAGACTCACCATTTTCTTTTTCGTTCAGACTACGATGTCCAAGGACCATGGACACAAGCGGGATGTTCAAAGATAGTGAATCCATGCTTTGACACGGCTGCTGGACGGTACGACAAAGATGCCTATATCTGTTCGGGTTGTGAGATTACGTGTGATGAACCGAAAAAAACTACATGCAACTGTATGTGTGCCGAATACTCTGATCTACTACCATTCGAACCTTATTGTGGAATTAGTCGCAGATTGAGAAATAAATAAATCATCGTCAGAAGATCTGCTTCACTTTCTAGCTTTATCATTTTGTGTTTTATAGTAAAATGACAGAACTTTTTAAATTAGTTAACCTTGAACTATCAACGAACTTTTTTGTTTTTTTCTTCATTTTGTATAAGAAGAATAACAAGTGAACATTGGCGCTCTCCTTTTCTTATCATGCGACGTAGGAATATTCAGTTTAAAACGCAGAATTAATCTCGAAATTACTATATCATTGAAGTAAAGTACATCTATCATTACGAAAAAATTGGATTTAGAGAATATTGATTATACTAATGGTTAGAACTAACATTATGCGAAATAATCCGTTTTAGGTTATTTTCTCCTAACATCAAAAATTCATAACTTCGTCAAAAATCATCATAACGACCTCGAAACTTCGGAAAATATATAATTTTGACACAAAGAGATCGTATATTTATAGTGTTGAATCGTGGAAATGAGAACTGTCTCGCTCTTTCCGTTTTGGACATATTAAAAAAAACAGTCGAGCCTATTCTTTTTTCCTCGACAGTAGTGGAAATGTATTCTTTCGATAATACGCAAGTTTGTGCTAATGTCATTTCGACACAATACGTTTCCACTAGAGTTTCAATCCTTTTACAAAAACAGAACATTGCGACGGAACGCAGTATGTCTAAATTATGCTGCAATCGTCTTTGAAGTCAAACTTAGTCCTGTCAAATTCCAGAATTCTATCTAAATTTCTAGAATTGACAGAGCTTCACAGATTCAATTAGTACTACTGCTCAAATTCCGAAGGGAACACTTTGGATTATCTAACTATGGAAAAAATCTATTGTAAGTCTATTGCAAGTTTTTGAACCATGAAGAACATGCGCCAATGAGCTTTTGCGCCTTTTCAGTGTTCATCCAGCGTACTAGCGTTCTAGTTATTATCCGTTCGCTCCGATAAATCTATCCACTCGCTTCTCTTCGAAATTGTGCCATACTATCGGGAATGAGTGCTGCTACTCTAATAAGAAATCTCCCTTTTCGTGATATTCCTATTCATTTCTGTTTTTATCTAAGAAAAATACAAAATCAGACGTTGGTTTTTGATACAGCAGCACATAGTAGAGCTGGAAGATCCGACTATTCGAAGTGGGTACATGAACCTTAAGTGAACCTGTGTCTTTCAATAGGTGAAATGGTGGAATGCCGCATTCTACCATTGAAAAACACTGAATGCGACATTGAATATTTTGATCGGGTTTTCTCAATTTGTTTCTGAAAATAGATTATGTATCTTGAAAATAATTCTCTCTAACAGTAAAACGTCTTCGGCGCTCTACGAATTAAGCGGAAAAAAAAACTGATTTGAGATCAGTATCCTACCTTCAGATTTATGTTCTATTAAGGGGATAGGACCTGTCACTCGTTTTTTTTACCGTTTTGTAGAGGACAATTTGAAATAAACATGGTAAAATTTTTTTGGGTCACCAAATTTGTAGTTTTTGGAAAAACTTTTCCTCGTGTTTTTGCCCTATTTTTGAAATATCAAATACAAACAGTACTTTGAAAAAACCTTGCATAGAGTTTCACTTCAGGAAAGCATTAGAGAAGAAAACTGTTAGAACAAAAATTGTTCAGTATCAGATTCTACATCTGCTTACGAGGGAAACTTTTGAAATTCCAGTAATTAGATTTTTTTAAATGCAAAAATACCGTTTTTAAAGATTTTAATTTTATGTAAACTTTAATTTAAGAATCAAATCTTAAAAATTTCATAATTTCCCTTAATGAGCCGATGTAGAATTTGATACTGGACAATTTTTGTTCTCACAGTTTTCTTCTCTAATACTTTCTTGAAGCGAAATCTGTGCAAGGTCTTGAACGATTCTGCACTCCGCGACGCTGAAAATCTTTTTCGATTTTTGACACTTCCATTCGGTTCCGTATATGAAAATATGTATGTTCTATGAGTTAAAGTTTTTCTGAACACTATTCTCTGACTCAGAAGAAAAGAGAAAGTAGAGTAAAAATTTCAGCGCCTTTTCTCCGTAGTGTAGTGTCTCAGTATTTTCAATTTTGAAGATTAACCTTAAGAAATTTAGGTGACAACAAAGTATTATATCACAGAAACAAACATGATTTTTAACGTAAAATCCTCATTTTTTATTTCAAAAGCAGTTTCAATGGAAATAAATATTAGATTCAGAATCAGCCTGAAAAACTGCGTCAAGTGAAGCAATTATTTACTGAAAATGTTTTTTTAAATTTTTCGCATGAAAACCTCATTCGAATTTTCTTTGTAACTAGATATTTCGAGCATTAGGCAATCATTCTATACCAAACAAAATGGTTTATTACAAAAACAATTGTCATGTGCGTCTGACAAGTCAAAGATGTCCACTGTCCGTTTGAGAGCTACAATTAATACGTGGATTATTGTTTTAATAACAGGACACTAATTGAAATCTAATATACGAATAGGAGTTCTGGAAACTTGTAAGTAAACACAGAAGTTTAAGAACCGATGTTCTCTTGTATCATAAAGCTGAATGAGTTCGAGCTTCAATTAGCTTTCAATAAGGACGTAAGTAAACAGGAGTATTTACTTGGAAAATTCCAACATATTATTTATAAAAAGATTATACTTGAAAGATTTTTCAATCATAATTCCTGTTTTGATAATATAGTGCTTCCAACCATATATTCAAATAAAATATTGACATTTATGTACTGTACAGTTCTGCAATTGACAAAGGAATCGGAAGCTTCGTCAAATATCTATTTAACTAATGCCAGTGACCTCGCGTAAATCAGAGAGCTTTGCCACATGGGAAAGTGGCGGACAAACCTTTACGCAATTCACCCTCAGCCGTAGATTTTAAAAAAGACATATAAAATACTGATTTAGATAGCCTTGAAAATAGACTACAATAATAGTAAGGCCTTTAGAAATCTTTACAGGAAAATCTGATCGACTTTTTTCGATTCTATGGAGACAAAAGATTTTTGAAAGACTGTAGTTGGAAAGAGCGCGTAGTTCTCAACAAAACGGTACGTTTCCCTGCGGGGTATTTTTCTGAAGAGTACAAGAGAGGTACTGCTCATTTTGGAGGACATTTTTCAATAATTCTCCTTTAGTCTTATTACTAGCTTAACTGCTACTTCTCATATATCCGTTTTAGTCAATATTGTACATCTGTTTATGGACTACGCAACAAACTATATGAGTTGCTCGTAGATCAAGAAAAGCAAATCTTTAAAACGGTTTCTCGGAAACTGAGCTTGTTATTGTGAGGACTGAAAAGCTAAATCATCATATGTTCGTTCACAACCAATCAATCTTTTTCAACTGCTAGTAAGGATTCATTTTCAGGTGTTTATTTATTGGGGTTTTTGCTTTGTTAACAGTGACACAAGCCAAAGGATCATGCTGTTGCACTAAAGAGTGCATTATTGTTTGCTAGATAGCCGTATAGAATGAAAAAACCGTCTAGTTTACCGAACGAAGTAAACTAGACAGATAATGGCATATGAAGGTGAGAGTATTTGGATTTCAGTTTTTCTATGTGCTCATTCAAGAGTACTAAGAGCGAAAAGAAATTTTGTCTCGGGCCACTTTCCCCTTGTCAGGTCTGTTTTAGGCTCGACCGTCTCTTAAATGTCTTTTAGAGTCTACGTTGAGGAGAGTAATCTAAAATATAAAATGTCTACAACGCTTATATCAAACGAGAATCTCCTCCGAATGTATGACAATTTAATTTTTTAAAATGGAAGAAGCTTAAGAAATAAAGTATACTCTGAAGCAGATTTGGACAAAAGATATGTCGACTACTAGATTCACCGACTGATGGCTGGTTTGAAAAGAACTGTTAGAGTACTGTGGGCAGCATGAGAAAGAGCTGCGAAGAACATTGAAACTTTTAATCAATAGGCGGCGATCGTTTCATGAAATTTTAGACTTCTCCACTGGTTAGAGAATCATAGGCCAGCAACGCATTCGACTTTCAGGGACAAAAATGAATCTTAACCTAGACTTTGACTTATGTAGAAGAGTTTTAACAAACCTTTTAGAAAAAGTAGTATTAGGGATCTTAGTCGATATTTTATGTAGAAAAAATTACTTTACACCCCCTTAAAATGTTTGGCTAGGACCGCTGTAACAGGTGAACTCCATAATACATAGTTTGCAATTCTCTTCTTATATCCGATAAAACTATTTTCCTTTCACAAATACTTATGCGTCATGTAGAAATTATCAGTATTTACATTCGATAAATTCCACTTCCTTTTACTTGTTCCTCTGATCGGTATATAAAAGCCACTTATTTGCAGTCGTATAAAGATTTTAATTTAGCTGGAACCCGATTAGAAATGTGTCGGCCGAGATTCTCTAACCAGTGGAGAAGTCTAAAATTTCATGAAACGATCGCCGCC